GCAAGGTATCACCTACACTTCCGACTATGCCATGCCTATTTGCATATCCGTGGCAGGCAAGGGCATGAAACCGGCAAGACCCACAAACTACGGAAGGGCTCGGTGTTGCAGCCGGCTACAGTAGTGCTAACAAAGGCCCACCTTGTTTGTGATCCGCACAAACAGTCATCAATCTTACACTGAAGCGACGGCCTTGACGATGCCAGATCAGACCCGGGACCTGCAAAAAGACACGGGAATCAGAGGATCACAGGCAAAGCAGCACCCCAAACAGAGATAACGAAATGTACAGCACCCTGCGCCCACTCAGCCACTCACCCACGAAAGGTCTCAGAACCCAGTGGCACGGCCCTGATGCTGGTCTGCTGATGGCATCCAATTGCGAACACACGAACAAATTCCCCAAGCTGGCCATCGAGCACAGCCCACGTGCCTGCCACGGAGAGCATTGCAAAAGCCGTGGAAGACGACATGGCCTTCCTGCAAAGCCTTAGAATTAGAAGCAGAGGCTCTGTAGAGGTCTCAAGAGCTTTGTGATTTGGAGCTCGGGTGCTTCGGGTCCGTCAGCGCTTTCGAATGTTGGGTGACTGCCTGGCTCCGATGGGAAAGCTTCACAGGCTGTCTCTCATTTGCCTTGCCGCCACCCTTACCTCTCTGCGGGCCAAGCGGCGCAAGCGGGCTGTCGAATCGCGGGTTGCAGCGTACCGCAAGCTGCTCTGAGCAGTCTTCGAGCCAGGGTTTCAGGATTTGACTCGGATGTATGGTTCAAACAAGCCATAAAAAGCCCAAAAATGGCTTAGACATCTCGGCCTGAGCAAGGCTTACTCGTCCTGGAACAATGCCCTCAAAAAGACTGCTGCTACGAGTATCCCACATCATCCTGAGAAAAGAGTGTCGCCCATGTACGTCGGATGTTGAGCATTCAGGATGGCATGCTCATGGCCTGGGCATGTGCAAGACGAAAAACGACTGAGGCCGCAGCACATCAACTTTGCTCAACACCTTAGCGGCGCGATCTTGGCTGATGGCCGCTGGCTGCGGCCAGTCGGATTAAACCCAGAAAGTAACCATAAACCCGTGTATACACCCCCCCACCTCCCTTTGTGGAAGCTCGCACATCACATCGGCCTCCTGATGCAGGCAAGGCGCGCGGCGCCGATTCAATGCTTCTTCGGTCAAGTCCTGCCAACATTGTAAGCCTCTAGTCTGTTGTTTGTGGGCTCTCTGCCCGGGATTCTCCCATGCAGATTCGATGGTGTGTGGGGAGATACGTGCGGCGGTGGCAGGATTCTCCAAGAAATGGGTCCGCAGAGGGTATGCACAGCAAGCTCAACAGAAAGGCTTCCCACCGTTCCTTGGTCTCTATCTCCTTCTTTCGTTCCTTCCTGGCTCTAGCTCGCTTGCTATCTCGCTCTCGCTCTTTCTCTCTGTTGGGCATCAGAGCATTGGCATACAGCCCTGGCCGTAGGAGGAGAGCGATCATAAACAACAAAGCATGAGGGATACAACATACTACAGGACGGCCCATAGAAACGTGACTCACTTGCCCTCGGTTTCGTTCGGAAGCTCTACCGTCCTGCTCCCCGTCCTACTCTCTTCTTTCTCTCTGCCTACGTTCCTCCCGAATTCCCGCCTCTCCAGTCCCTCGCTTCGCATAGCACCAGGGATGTGTGCAGAGCCTGCCACCAGCAGCCCGAGCATGAAAAGACACTGAGCACGACTGCCATGCAGACGTGAAAAATCTGTGGCTATGTGGGTATGAAAAACACTATACGAGCTTGTAAGCCTTTGGACAAGCAAAAAAAACGCTAGTATGGAATTCAGAAGACTACAAGAAAAGTCCAGCCACTGCCCTTAAGGCAAGGCCGGCAGAACAGCTCCAGTTCACGCAGGCATCGATGAGGGGCAATCCTTGACTGTGGGAGCATTCACTCAGCGAACAGAACTCGGGTGCTGGCATGCAGAAGAACACCCACTGAGCAGCGGGCTCTTGTCGCAAGGCCGCTTCCTGGAGAACCTTCAGTGGATCATTGCAAACTTCAACGGAAAGCTCGAAACAAAGCTTCAGATTCTGAAGCAGCCTTGTAAAGTGCAGCTTGATCCGGAGCCATCCGCAAAGGAACCTGCAGTGTCGTCCGGGCAAGCCAACCTAGCCAGGCGAGCACGGCCTCCACTTCTTCCTTTGCCACCAACTGGACAGCCTCGAAAGCGCCCATCGTGCTTGGCGCTTTTGGGGGATTCGGCGGCTTCTGGGGGGTTGGGGCGAGGGGCTTGGAGCTTGTGAAACCACCAGGCTAGGGTCTCTTGGGTGAGGATTAGCTGCAGGCAGCAAGCTGGATGATTCCAACGCTTGTAACTAATGATAACTTATGGTCGTCCTGATGCTGCATCGAGGTAAATTTATATGTCACATGCGGGGTTGCCGGTTGTCGTGGCAAAGAAGATCGCGTCCTGAGAGCATGCACAAACAGGCGATCCTTTTGGGCACATATCAACTGACGACTCTATTAAAGTTTGTCATGATATCAAGAGAACCTTGGGCTCCACTGTGAACATGAAATTCATGTCCATGATGTGGCACTGGAAGTCGTAGTAACAGAACGGGGCGGCCTCGCCGCTGTCCCGGCGCAGTGTGATCAACTGCAGCCTTTGGTTTCTAGCATACGGGCTGCGGGCCTAAGTTCAGGTTTCCATCGTATTAGCTTGGAGAATCGTGGTGATGCTGGAGGGTTGCTGGTTGCGAACATGGGGAGGTTTCAATAGTGATAACTAGAGGCAATACCGAGATGACTGCTCCTCATCTTTGCATCCCTCAGCCTGGCCTGGCATGCAGCTGGCTTTCTAACGGTACAACTCAGCCCTCACATTTCGACCCGCAGCATTGAAAATTTTGGCTCAAGTCACCTCAAACACCCTTTGCTTATTCAGTGCGGCAGACACAGTGCATCGCAATGAGCATCAGCCATCTCGGACAGTTCGGAGTTTCTCTTGGCGAAATTCCACCCGACCGGCTAACGCCGCGTCGGACCAATGCAACAGGAATCCGCAGCCTACCATTTTAGACTCCCCCCCAAAGCTTCTATGCGCGTGTGTGTGTACCCACTTGTGTATACTAGTGTATACACATATAAAGTTTTGCAGACGTATGTGTACATATATTACATATCAACTGGTATCCTGAGTCTGCGTTCTTCAGAGAGGCAGATGTCATTTTTCAAGGCTCATGGGCTGGCGCGAGCCCTCAGAGCCTGAGCACGCGACATCTTCCGAAGGCAGGCACGGCCTGCACTACTCTCTAAGGGTAGTATCCGACCAACAGTTGCCGTAGTGAAAGTCGTCGAAATAACCTGTTCCCCATCATCCCTGCCCTGGGCTTCTTGGACGACGGACATGTTAGCACCTTTCCACGGTGCTCTGTGTGGTTTCGGCCTTCCTCTGTGTCCGGAAAGCGCTGCCGGAAGTCCTGCTCGGATGACTTCTGGGTTGTTGAGAGACTACTGTAGTTCTTGAAGGATGAGAAGACACCCAGGTTTAGGTTTTCGACTCACACACTCGCGCAAGGCAGGCATGGCTGCTACAGTGACGTGGGCGAGGGAGACAACTGATCGGCGGGGTAGGGAAATCTGCAGCAATGTAGAGAATTGACCGTACGGTGCAATTAGGGCAATCCTGGCTGTTGCCCTACCTGTGACCTACTCACGACGTCCCCCAGGCTGCTCTTCGGGTCCTGCAAACATCCAGCACAGTCAGGCTCGACCTGGGCAGGGGGGAAATCTGCATCCCCGGCTTCTGGAAATGCTCTTTGGAAGGCACGTTCAACCTTCCTGCTGAAGCCACGACAAACTCCAGAATGGAGTGGACGTCATCCAGTGAATTCCTCAATATCTCGATTGAACCCGTCCTTCCTTCACTGGCTCCGGTCACAGTGCCGCAAGGTTGCTCAATGGGCGTGCCAGTGAGGGCAAGTCTGAAAGGAGCCTTGCACAAACCTCATAGCGCAAAAGGGATGATGTCGGTGCACTGCATGGGGTTTCAGCACAAATTTCTCTCCAGGGAGTTCGACGCTTGACGGCCGAAGAGGTCTGCGTGGCGTGATTTTTGATGGACTGGGCCTTCACGAAAGAAGTGAAGTGAACAGATTTCCTGCCGGTAGCTGGGAGATGTTAGAGAACGCAAGCCTCGTCCAGAACGACGCAAGTCCAACCTGTCACCAGAAAAAGACGCTTGGCCAAGCTGCTTGGTGGCTCAATCGTTCCTCTTCCAAAAGGCGGCAAATTAAGAATCCAGGCTGCCGACTTTCTCTAGTGAACATCTCCTGGTTCAGGAGGAAAGTCTCCTTCGAATGCGTTTTGTGGGCCTAGGACTTACAGGAGGGGCTTGAAGTAATTGCTCGGGCTCTGGTTTGGGGCTTGTGGGACCTACAGGATTTCGGGACATCTTTGCTGCAAAGATGTTGCGGTCTGGAACCACAGCTTCTTTGGTGCTGTACATACTGAAGCAAACGCCAGCATGTTGCGTACAAGGAAAGACAGCAAAGCCTCAGCATGCCCGCGCCTGCCCTGTAATAATGAGCAAAATCCACTAACAACGCTTGGGTAGTTCTGATGATGGCATGCGCAGTCGCAGGTGTTGTAGCAAAGCCAGGCCACTTGGGCCCACACGTAGCTTGTGACAACGACATCGTACAGCTCGACTATGGGGCCTTGAGCACCAAAATGATCTCTGACTTGGCAGCTCAAGCGATCCCCGCCCGCCTTTCCAAGCTGCCGTGTTCACCTGAAATGTAGGTGCTTCCGAGCCACGCACTCGGCACTGACCCGTTAGCAGCAGCCTTTTTTTCATCCCTCGTGGGAGAAGTGAAGACACTGCGGCGAAAGCTTCGCAGGGCACGACCCTCCTTTTCTCAGAAGTATTGCAACCTGAAGGCCACGGGAAGCTTGACATACCCGTGGCACACCAGAATTGCACGAGCCAGGGTCCTAGTTGCCCAGCCTGACTTGTCAAGCTCCGGCAGGAGAGGCAGGCGTCTCTGGGATGATCAGCTTCGTCATGCCGACCTTGGTGAAGAGGCCACTGCCACACTGCGCGTCAAACTCCGGAAGGGGTTCGTGGTCCTCATTCATCAGCTTCATCTCTGGGTCGCACTGCACTGCAATTGCCCCCTCGTAGTTCCTCTCGATCTCCGGGATGGCGGGCTTCAACTGCTCGTACTTGTCTGGGGCGACGCTCTGCACTTTCATGAAGCTGGCAGCCATGATGTTGTATTTCTTGAGGACAGGCTTCAACAGAGGGTCCTCTTCAAACGAACCGGAATGCTCGCTGGAGACCACTTCGTCGACTGCACTGTAGAACTCGTCGACGGCTCGGCGGAGTTGCTTGATCAACTTCACCGTCTGCTGGCCGTCCTCGTGATCCTTCTTGGCACCGCGCGCGGCATCTGCAGCTTCCTTGGACTCTGCCTGAGACTTCGTGGCCTTCGAGACGGCCCTGTCGAAATCGCCCTGCAAAGTTCGCAACTCCTGCTGCGCCTTCTGTGCTGCCTGCTCGGCATCACTTGCTGCCTGCGCTGTCGATGCCTCCATGCTGTTGGCAGACAGCACCACTTGCTTCTTGTCCATCAAATCCTGCTCTGCCGCGTTTTTCTCCTTCATCTTTGCATCCAACTCGTCTTTCACAGCGTCAAGGTGCTTCTGCATTCGTGCCAGGGTCAATGCGAGGGCCTCTTCCAGCATGGTCACGTTCTCCTGCAGCCCCTCGACGTCTTGACTCAGGCCGTTGAACTTGCTCAGCGCGTTCTCCAAGCCTGCGTTGTGTTCATCATGCTTGGAGGCCGCCTCCTCAGCGGCGACCATTGCCTTCCGACTCATCTCCACCTGAGCCTGTTGTTCAGTGGCCTTTGCCGTCATGTTCTCCATCAAAGACATCTTCTCTGCAGCCGCCCGTTCTGCGTTTACTTTCTTTTTTGTAGCCGTCTCTTCAGCCGCTTGGTAGTCCGCAAGCTTGCTCTCCGCATCCCTTTGGGCCCTCTGCAGTGCCCGGCTGATTGGACGCGGGACCACCCCTGCCTCCACCTCGGCCTGCACGTTCGCCTGGTGCTGTTCGACGTGGCGTGCACCACTTGCCACACCGAGCAGCCCAGCAAGAGCCACAGTGAGCGGAGCAGCGAAAGTGCGCAGCAAAGCCATGTCTTGCAAAATTCGGGTCGTCAGAAAACACAATCTAGACACGCATGCGTCCTTGAGCCACAATGCTCACGATCGGCTCAATGGGCTAGCCAAGCATGCCAAAATCAACAACAAAAACTTTACGACTTTCCTTCCGGCATATCGGTCGGCCTCGTATCGGAGGTCGCATGCGCGCTCGCCGTGCCACTGCCACACCTGCCGCTGAGGCATGATGATCCCCCATGCTTGGGAAAATGGTGCGTATGAATACGCATAGTATGTAGAAACTGGATTCCAAGGTGTACTTACACTGAGCATCAGTCGTGGATCTGCTGCTGTGATCACCAAATCTTCACCCGCCTTTGCCGTTACCTCTGTGCGGCAGATGACTACGAATGGCTTCGTTTCTTCCGCAGGCCGTGCACGCTTGCCGTTGCTCTTGCTCTTTCTCGTTGCTGGCTCTTGCCTGACTCGCTGCTGCGGCATTGCACTGTTGGTGCACTCAGGGTCTGGCACGCAGAGGTTCTTGCCACTGTGCACTCACCTGAAGCGGACACGGCTAGGCACAGCTGCAACAGGCAAGGTTTACTAGAGGTCGTGATAGCTGACACAAAACAGTTGCGCACCTTAGATCTGCCGTCTGCAGTCTGCAATACCGCCCTACAAACAGTAAGTTCGCAACCCGGCATTCTGGGAAGACATGCAAGTCGCCCTCTTCCATGTGCCCCGCCTCTCGAAGCTCCCGCTGCCAAACGCTGTCCTCGCCTTACGCGAGCCGACGGTCGCAAACTTCTGAGTCTCAACGTCTCAGAGCGTGTTGGAAGTTCAGATGCTGCAGGGTGCAGTGACAGTGACGATCCCGGCGCCTTGTGATTATGGACATCCTCCTGAGCACATGGCCGCGGATCAGCATGGACGGTGCTAGAACCTCCGGGCGAATCAAAACTTCAGTCAAAAGGCCTTGAAGAGTCGTATGTTGGTACTTGGCTTGGGGATTTCGGCATCTGGGGTTTTTGTTGTCGGAAGCATTGGCAGATGTACGGGATGCATGGTAATATCATGCCGAACGAACGAACGAACGAACTTGGGGGGTCTTCGCATGAAGATACTCGCCGCCTCATGATTTCGCAGACTGTAGCATAAAGAGGTTCCAAAAAAACTAGCTTAATCGCAGGCGCATTGCGGCCCGGTGTCTTCAGCAAATCGTCCCTAGAGCCTCCACTCTGTACGCGCCGTCTGGAAGTTTCAACCGCCGGCGAAATCCGTGCCAAGGGTTTGCGGGCTCTTGCGAAGTTCCAGAAGCCTCCCGAGGTGGGAGGCGCAGCGACGTCTGGCCGTTGAAAGACCAAGACACAAGCCGATAAGCAGGCTGGCATAGGAGAACTCCACCCGCAGACCAGAGGACCCGGAGCACGAGGATTATGCTAACAGTCCCGACCAGCAAAATGAGGCCGTGGCTAAAGCACGCTCGAAACGAGCAGGCCCAGCCAGCTCTGGAACCTCGAAAGGCTGTGAAGTTGGTGGTGGCTTTGAATAGCAAGAGCTCAGGCTTGGAAAAAACAACAGCCCTTGCTACTAGAAGAGGGTTCGCTACAAGGGACACGGAGACGTGAAGAGCTTCGACTGCACTCACTCACTCTCGGTGGGGCCGACAAGTTAGTAGGGCTTCCAGATTTGGAAAGCCAAAAATTCTGAAGCCTTAAAACCTTTCAGCACGGACTGAGGGCCGGCCAGCGCCTACTCAGCATTAAACCCCTTGACACTAAGCAGCATGGGGGCTTTCCGGAAATTACTCCGCTCTCGGCGAGCCCGGCTTTTTCTGCAAGCTCGCCCGCTGCGCCGAAGCTCCAGGTTCGAAGTCGTGGCATGTGAGCCCTTTAAGGGGCTCCAGCTGAAATCCGAATCTGAAGTAAGTTGGGAAACACCGCAGTCAATCAATTGCAGGCCGGAACTCTTCGTCACTGTCACACTGAAACAAGGTTGTCAATAGTCACTGACTGCAATGGTGTTGTGGCACGGACCGCTTCATGTCTACTAGAGCGTGCAATCTCTTGGAGATGGCACAGATTGGGATGCCTGGAACTGAAGCCTCGGCAGTCTTAGCAAGGAATCGAAACTGACATCGACTTCCAGACACCGCTCCAATGTGCGTGCATGCATGCATGACATTGAAGCCCTGTTATCATTCCTCCTCGTACTCGTCCTCATCCTCTTCATCGTCCTCAGCTGCCAATTTCGGATTGATAGCTGGCCACGGTTGGACGGTCAAGTTCTGGAATGTCGAAATCCAAACCAAAAGCAACCCCATAGTTTTGCTCAACATTGCTGAGGGCTCCCTCACGATGAACAACACGTGCTTGCCCGGGTCGTAATCCTCACCGCGACCTCTGCGCATACGCCTCGGGAGGACTTAGACGGTCATTCCTCGTAATTCACAAGCCTTCGAGGAGCATTTGCAATCAACCCCGATTGACCTGGATCAATTGGATTTGTCGACTTGTCTTTTGTCTTGAGCTCGCAGCTTCCAACTTCCAAGGGCTTCGAAATGAGAGTGGGCATTCGCTAGGTGCCAGAGACTTTGCCTTTGCCGAGCTTCCGTCTCCCTCCAAGCCGGGGAATTGTCAGCCGGATCGGATTCGATGTCATACCTCGTGGCGAACGAGGCTCCCGATCGCTTCCCGATTCTCAAAAATGAGAATTCCCAAGACTTTGCCCACTAAACATTCTCAATCAAGGAGTTGAGGCCGGGCCACTTCTCAGGTACAAGCTTCGAGGGGATGGGCAGTCGGTCGGAACTTCCTCCACTCCTCAGAAGTCCACGCCGGTTCCGTGCAGCTCCCAGCGCTGGGCCTTGCACCTTGGGCCTTCTCCCAATGTACGATACTGTAATATACTATAGTCTTCTGTAGTATACTGTACTACATACAATATACTATACTACACTATACTATACTATACTATACTGTTCAGGTGCCAAGCTTCCGTTGGACTGAGGGTGCTCGGGGGCAGACTGACAATCCTCCAGAGCGGCCTTAGCCATCTCGCGCACCTTGGTCTTCCTACAAGCACCAACAAAGCATGCCTCAGAGCCCTTTACGATACATCCAATCAGCATAATCAAGAACGCGCTCTAAGTACGGGCTTTAGGCTTAGATTAGGTCCGTTCAGTTTCAGGCCGTAGGACTGAGAAGAGGAAGCCGGAAGCCTCCTGCAGCACGAGCGGCGTGAGGCCAGTCGAACTCAGTGAACTTCTGGAACAGCTGCTGGGTCGCTTCGTTGGCTGGGTGATATTTCGTCAGGAGTCGCATCCCAAGAAAACGCAAAGGGTCGCCTGCCAATTGCAAGCAAACACAGAAAGCCCTGACAAGCAACGATACAGTTTGCCAAAGAGGTCACGAAGAATTTTGACTCAGATCTCTCTCTCTCTCTCTGTCTCTCTCTTTCTTCCACACAGCCAAGAGAGCAGCAGGGACGCACTGCCCCGCGCAGATCTCTCTGTTCTGTTCTGTTCTGTTCTGTTCTGTTCTCCGGGGTTCGAGGAGCGTGTCAAGCGCTCCCCGGCGATCTCTCTCTCGTCCTCTGTCTGCAGGCCGTTTCAGCCTCCTAGCTTCCAGAGGCTTCCCAGCTGCCGTTGAACGCTCTAAGTCTCCCGCACCGGTCTTCTGCGAGATCTCCCAAGAATGACCAGAGCCCTTCCTTGACTGCTCGACTGCTTTGCACTGGCGGCGCAGGGCTCCAAGAGGCTGGCTTCCGATACACATACCCGGAACGGCTGCAACGGAGCTTCCCTCAGCCCTTCGACAGATGCCGCCGTTGAGTGGAGGAGCCCCATGGACTCGACGATCACCTCGCAGGGCTTGGGCTGCGCCCTTAGGGGCCCCAGATCCCCGAAACGCTGGGCCCAACCGGCCCCACAAACAAACCACTCCTTGTCACTCCTTTCGGCCATGAAATCCGGACTGTCCGGGTCGTTACTCTCGGGACAGTTCCGGGGAACCAGTCCTGTCAGAGATGGGCTCTGCACAAGTCCACTTGTTCGTTTCCCGTCCTTGATGTCAACCCTCAGACGCAGACCGAAAAGCCCCAAAGCCAATCCCAAACACTGGAGACACCCATGGACTCAAACCCCGAATCCGAAGCTCGGCTCCTGCATCCGCCCTCCTCGGCTGCTGTTGAAATCCGCTTATCATAAAAACTGTGCGTTTCCAGTTCCCGAGCTGACTTTGCAGGAATGTTCATCCTACATCCACAAACCAACATCGGTCTATAAATATCTGCGCCCAAGCTTCAGCATGAACGCCTCCTTCTTAAGGCCCTTCAGCAGCGCTTCGACGGTCGTCTTCGTCTGAGCGGCTTGTAGCAGTTAGCAGATGCCATAGCAGTAGTAGCAGGAGCAGTAGATGTAGCAGTAGCAGTCATGGTGGCAGTACGTAGAAGTGACTGGTGCTCTTGCTGCACGCTGCCAGCGACGAGGCAACGTGTAACTAGCCACTAGCCACTTGTGCTGCAACTGCTGTTGCTTGCGGTCCCGGCTGATCCCCGCATGATTCGTGAGCATTTGTTAATCCATCGAGCTGTCTGGCTCTGTAATCTTCTACGAACAGCTCGAGCGAGCTCGCTGGCCGAATGCTCCCTCCCTCTTCGCAAAGCCCAAGTTCCTGCGAGGCCCGGGCATAGGGCTTGATCCAGGCAGCCGCTTCTTGTCCGGCGTGCCTTGCAGAGTAAAGGAAAAGGCAGAGAAAGAACCGAGTATTAAGGCTTTTTGCCTCCTGCATTGTTGAGCGAGTCCCTTGCTAGGACGTTAGTTCAAAGACGCCAAGTCTAGCAGTCTAGCAGCCCTTCTCTGGAAATTACGTATGCAGAAATTTGAAATGATCGTCTTGAGAACTTCGGTTAACCGACAAATGCCAACGCATGTCTTCAAGCAGACTTTTCGGCTGGAGTCTGAGAGGAATCTGCCAAGACTGCGAAGCTTTGGTGAAGGCCAGGTTGCGCCGCCGTCAGCAAGCTGCAGTAAGTGGAGAAAAGCTTGAGGATTTGGTCGGAGTCACTTTCACGCGCAACTTCGATGACCGTGGTGATGCCTTATGCGCCAAGTCACCGTGCCCCCAACCTAATGATCCAGCATCTGCGTGTCTGCAGCAGCGTTGGAAGCCGCATGTACTTGCAGACCAGCCGCGTTCTCTCCAAGATGACAGAATGCAAGTGGATGCTGCCTTTCGGCTACGGGGCTCACAGGTGGGAGGCCGTAGCAGTTGCAGGACAGTGCTTGTTCCAAGGCCTTGTCCCACTGCTTCTCTCGCTCTAACCAGGAACCCAAGACCTTTTCAAACTCCACGGCTGAGTATGCTTGCCGGATTCCATAAACCTCAGGAGTGGCATGGCAGCCAACCAACGTCGAAAACATCCAGTGGCCAAGCTCCTCACGTCAGAAGCCACATTTGCAGTCGGGCGTCCCGGTGCCGCTTGGTCTGGCCATTCTCCTCATGCTCCTGCCGTTCCACATTCGCAGACAGACACTTTATCAGCCTGAAGCCGTTCCGGACAGTTTACGCTACGCTGACACGCCTCCCATCGACAGAAGAACTGCAGCTTCAACTTCTGCTGCAGCCTCTTGTCCAGCTCAACGAAGGCACTGGCCTGGGGCAGGACATGCCACTGCCTATTGCGATGCAGAAGCCCATCCCTTCTTCCAGAACCCGTCAGCACACAGTGGGACTCCAGGTGACTCGAAAGAAAACATGCAAACAGAACCTCCACCCCGCAAGATCACCTGTCGAACTCTCCCGCCTGTATACCAACCCCAAGCACTCACTAGCTGAAGCACATGGGCGCGTTTCAACCCACCACTGCCGGAATTCCTCTGATCTGCCAGGCGACCGCCTTCCGGCATTTTTGCAGCCCGTCTTTCGCCTCTTGCCTTGGCTGGAATATGCGTTGATTATTCGGCTACGTAGGGCCTATATACGGCCTAAGGAGTCGAATTCGTAGACCGTGAAAACCTGCAGCCAGGTGTCCAGTGGGGCTTTATCGCCTGCGTCAGCTCCTCCTTTATCCACATGGCTCCGCAATCCTCCCATTCCTCCTCGGGATCGAAGCTCCACTTGTTGGCGTTGTGTGCCTCGCCGAGCCATTGAGGTTAGGCGGAAGTCCCTGGCTCGAAGAGCCCTCACAAAATGTTGGACATGACGGTACCTGCCACTATTTCTCTGATACAAGATGATAGACGCACAACCCTCAGAGTGTCAGGCGGCTTTCTGAGTGAACACTTCAAAGAAGTGGTACCGAAGGCTCAGTTACCCGACTGCACAGCCAGCCACCTTCAGAATGCGCAGATACTTGCGCCATATCCTCGACTCTTCCTGCAACGCGAGCGCGAAGTCAGCATGCTCAGCTGCTCGAACATGGTTCTTTTGATTCTCGCTTCGGACGTGTCAACACGCTTTAATTTCACTCTTGAAGGGGAGACTTTCGACTCTAGACTCCGAGACTTGGAAATGCGATGTTCACGCAAGCTAGAACACTACACCCCATGCAGAAATTACCGGACGCTTGGCGAAGGATAGCAAAATGTAGCGAGGATAGATTCCGGCAGAGGATGACGAACTCGAGAACGACAGAGCTGCACAAGCACGGGCGCAAGACAAGACAAGGTGTCCCGGGCCTTCTTGATGCCAAGCATCATCGCTCTCCCCAGCAAGATCCCATCAGACAGATCTTCTGTGCCAGGAGGAAGGCTCAGGGCATCTTCGACAGGTCTCGAAGTAAAGCCGGGCATGGCTTCTTGGCCTCAGTCTCCCCCCAAGGGATACAAATACATAATATCGGCGGTACTACAAAGACCAGCGGCAAAACTCGGCGATCTCATGGCCCTCTCCAACCGTCGCAGTGATCGGGCACTGGATCTCTTCCGATATCCTTCACATGTCGAGTGGGCTTCGTCAAAGCAGCGAAGGGCTCAACCACTTCCCTTCCTTCCTTCCTTCCTTCC